CATTGTACACTGTAAAGCAACGCTTTGCAGATTTGCGAAGGACTCAGATCCTACATAGCATTTACCCTGAAATTGCAAAGCGATGCCTTGCAGCATGTAAAGTATTCCTTAGACCCCTGTGTACAAGGATCAGGACGAGCGTCACTCAACCGAACCCATTGCCGGTCATAGGGTAGGAAATCTCCAAAATTTTCCGAAAAAATTCCGAAAAATTCCCGAAAATTCACGGAACATAACGAAAACTTCAAAAGTTTGGGAGATTCTTAATTTTTTGAGTGAAATTCTGTTTTTTCCTGACATTTTCCTGGAATTTCCCGGCAACTTTCCAGGGTTTCCATATCGCGTGGCGTGTCGGGGCGGGGCGGGGCGCCCAAATGGGATTATTGGGGCTCTTTCACTTGTTGCTCCTCATGATGGCGTCCGAGCTAGGCCGAGGGAAGAAGGGGGGAAGGGAGGGGGAGGAAGAGAGAGAGAGAGAGAGAGAGAGAGAGAGAGAGAGAGAGAGAGCGCATTCCACCGCCCGCCACGCCGCCCCCGACTGGAACAATCATAATAACGAGGGCCGAGAGATAATCTGGCGCGCTCAGCCTCAGCAGCCCGCCAAAAGTTGCAGATGATCGCAGGCGCCTCGCAAAAGCGCGGGAAAGGAATTGGAAGAAACAAAATAAAGGGGGAAAACCCTAACTCCGCAAAACTTATTTGCAATCAGTCAAATTACTATTGCCCGAGCTATATTGCCTTACTTTGGTACCCAGCAGATCCATCGCAATTCGACCAATATTGAGCAGAACTTTTAGTAGGACCGGTTGCAATAATTAGCTTCTATGCACAAGCATTTTACAATCGATGCAGCGTTACAAATATTTTGGTAGGAGGCAGGGCGTCATTGTAACCAAGGTGAACTTCACTATAAATTCAATCTCACACCAATTTTTATACATTCCCTCGATTTTCTTAACTTTTTTTAAATCTGATTTTGTCCCCTTGAATTTTGTTTTTTTGGACGGGGGTACATTGATATTATTTTTTGTAAGTGAAGTACCCCTCGTTTGCAACATCCCCATTGCAATCGCCGCAATTGCGCGTCGAGGGGCGATAAAGTACAGCGAGTAAGTACCGAGGTAAGTACAGCGAGTAAGTACCGAGGTAAGTACACCGAGTAAGTACCGAGGTAAGTACA